CATTTTCTAATTGTTCATTACTAAGTACAAACAAAATTTTATTGTTGTTGAATTATGAATTATATATGTGAGTTATTAATAATTTATGCCTATCAAATAATTAGGACATTAATAAGGAAACATCTAGTTGGTTCCATTTAGTTATAAGTTACAGTTTAACTGAAATGAAAATTAATGCTGAGTGGTATTGGGGAAAATTAGAGAGGATCAAGATTGGTTTTCCCCAGGATTGGTGGATAAGATTTAAGGGGATGGATTTACAGGATTGAAAGATTATTTGGCTTTAAAGAGATTCAACAAGAAGTGAAGGCAGACATAAGTGAGCAAAATGGGTATACCCCATTACCAATTGGACCTATTTCTAATGTCATTGTCCAAATCTCACTGTACGCATTGGAAGGCACCCAACTCCCTCATAATATAACAAATTACAATTTACTGGTGTTTACAGCCGAAGGACTTATATATGTATTAATTGACTGTACTGGCACCCATAACCTCATGGATGCAGGATTAGCAAGGGCATTAGATTGATATCAGATGCCTATAGCAGGTATAGGACTGTCGAGATTGCTAGTGGATATTTGATGGCTTGTGCCTATGAATGCAAAAGAGTAAAATGGTTCATGCAAGAAGAAGAATATCCGACATTGGCTTTCTTTGCCTAGGAGGTTGCTTGGGTTATAATTCATACTTTGTTGTCATGGGACTTTTTCGTGTGATGTTTGGTGGTTAACAACCAGTATAAAACTACGATGATCTCACTGAAGTTAAGAGTTCCACACATCTGTATGTGTTATACAATTTGTAGTCAGGTTTACATATGGCAATCCGATTTGAATCGAGATATTGTATTCCATTAAATTAGTTGTAAAATAAACGGGTGGTTTGGCGGGTTGGCAAATGGAATAAGAGTAGGGAGTAATAGGGCGAGAGGTGGGTGGAAGATCTCATTCGTGCATCACATGATCAGAAATTGAGAAAATTCTCAAAGGACATTTTGTTGTTGATCATATGGATGTTAAGATGAGAATTTTCTTTTAAGGAAACAATAAACATGTAGATAATATTTTCAAGAAGCACCAAGGGGATAGTGCTGTTATTTATAATGCTTTCGAAATATTTATAGTGCTTTTATTTAACTATAATTTTTTAGGTGACTGATCTAACTATAACTCAGGACTTGTGATAAGAAACTTAAAAGTCTTAAAGGTATTTGACATCCTATGAGCATCAAAGTTATAATAACATAAAGAAATGATAAAGTTATTCGCCTAATACTACTCTGTTCCCTGTTTAGTGGGCATGCCAACAGACTTAATTTGGTTATGTTTACAGTGGTTCAATTTTGAGAATTCACTAATATATGTTTAGGTCATTTGCTATTTCATCCATCACCACCTCAATTTCACCCTCGTACGTGCAAATCTCAACATTTCGGTGCCTGTCTACTACACTGTATTCCTCTTCTTATCCTACGCCAGACCCTCTTCCAATGGGTGGAGAGGACCAGACGCCATCATCTTCTCTTTTGCTTGAGAAACAATTTGAAAGTTTTTGTGCTCAGTTAGATGAATCTGGAAGCTTGCGGGAGAGAATTCGTGGTGTGGCAATGGAGATTGAGTCCACAACAAGGCTTATGCATGCTGGTCTTCTTCTTGTTCACCAATCTCGTCCAATTCCTGGTAATGAAATCAGTGCTTCGGCTTTAATTTTGTCTTAGCTTTTAATTATTTTTCCTGATTTAGCATTTTATGTGAATGCTTATAT